AATTGGAACAATCAAGGAATGAATAATGGGAATAATCAAGGAACAAATTATGGAAACAATCAAAATGGAAACAATGGTAACAATAATGTTAACCAAGGCAATGGCCAAGGAGGTGAGAGAATGTCTGAATAAAGTTACCAACCAATAATGTACATAATCGCATATATATTCACCACTACAAACATATGCACTATATATATTATAATTCAAATTCCAGTTCCAGCAAAATCAATAACGTTACTATATTCAAGTTGTTTCTTGAAAATAATAAAGCTTATTGCCTTTATAACGCCCATAGGAATACCGGGTGGGTGGGGGGTGTCATACCTTTCACTAGAATATAAAGTTCACGTGTTGCTAGGTGACTTCCTATGCCACCGCAGTTTTTCAAGGCTTGCTACGGCCTTGAAAAAGAATTTGCATTAATGTAGTGATTGTTATTTTGTTTTCAGGTGGAACTAATATACAACCTGTGTCGCTGCTTGGCGTAATTCCACTGCAAGCTGCAACGTCTCAGGGCAACCAACCAAATAACAATGGGAACCCCTCCCAACAATCCCAGCCAAACAACAGTGTACCTAGCAACGGGATGCCTAGCAACGGGGGACAGGGGCCTGGGAACACTAGTAACGGGCAACAGCAACCGTCTTCAAGCAACCCCCAGCCAAATAATGGGGGACAAACAAATCCTCAGGGAAACCAAAATCCAAATCAGGGTCAACAACCAGGAGGAAAACCAAATGGAGGACAACCAAGTCCTAATGGTCAAGGTAGCCAAGGACAGCCACAGCCTTCTCCTTCGCCAACACCACCAGCAGGGCAGCAGAATCCTAATACGAGCACACAGCAGCCTGGAAGTGGACAGCAGACCACGACGCCAGGATCCGGTCAAACCACATCACTTGGTCAAACAACCAAACCAACGGTACCCAACAATGGTGGAAACTGTACGACTCCTAACCCAACAGGCTCTCAAGCTCCCAAAGAATCCCAGAAACCTGGCCAAGGAAAGAATAGGAAAAAAGTGACACCGATATTGACGCTGCCAGGGTTTATGATCCCGATGCCAATGAGGCATCCACATTTGATGAGGTTACCCCATCCAATTCACCCTATGATGATGCATAGATACCCTCATCCAGGCTTCATGATGAATCCTCCCCCTCTTGTTGGCGATGACCATGTTTTGATTGGTAAGAATGTACCATATTTTACTATATTTGAGTGAAGTGTTTTTCCATTTCAGACAACATGTTATTTTCTAAAGTATCTTTCTTGTCTATTGTGCTTGGAAGAAACATGGTATAAAACTAACTCTCAAGATTTAAAAAATTATTGGTTTAACAAAAAAAAAAAAAGGAGAGTAACATTGACACGAAAGCTATAAAGGTTTTGCACCATTACGGTGCCGATGACCATGTTAGATGGCAGAGCATTAAAATCCCTTATCTCTCGGGTATTTTTAATTCTTCCTCATATTTAATGATTGTATCGTTTCTGTCATCCAACATGGCTGCCGACATCTCTATTGTGTGCTGGAGGTCTTGGGCTCAAACACCAGACCACACCATCATGCACTAATTCTTGGTTTCTCTTTCCAAAGGGCAATGCCAAGACTTGGATCCTGGGTGCGCATCTATGGCTCTTTCAGGGTTATGTGACAGAGAGGTTGCTAGGTATTCTTGTATGGCATCTTGTGGTTATTGTCGAAGGTAAGGACATCTTTTTTTTAATTTGGAAGGTTCAAGTAAGATTCTTTTGTAAATTCTTTACTTCTGTTTAAAAACGTTTAGAATTATTAATGAGTTGTAAAACAACAATTTATTCTCTTTACTATTATTTCTTTTTTAATCCTTTGGGTGTAAAGGTTTCTCCTATTTAAGGTCACTTGTCATTCCCTTGGGGAATATTTTTTCTTTCTTATCCTCGGGCGTAAGCGTTTCTTTCCTATGTCAGGCAGGATGTAGTTCCCTTGAGTATTATATCTTTCTTATTCTTATGCGCATTTCCTTAGGTATTATTATTTTTTCTCCTTATTGGGTGAAAAAGGCCACATGTCATTCCCTTGARTATTATATCTTTTTTATTCTTATGCGTATTATTATTTTTTCTCCTTATTGGGTGAAAAAGGCCACATGTCATTCCCTTGAGTATTATATCTTTTTATTCTTATGCGTATTATTCTTTTTTCTCCTTATTGGGTGAAAAAGGCCACATGTCATTCCCTTGAGCATTATTTCTCATGATTTCTTCATTCTTTTTCAGTTTTGTTAAATTTGGTCAGCACGTTTCACTCGACACACGTCATAAAACAGCGAAAGCAAAGCCACAAGTTCCAAAAAATTATCCCGAGTACAATTCAGAATTTTTGAGATCGATAATAACCAGACCAAAAAGGATTAAAACAGATATTACAATTAACAATATTAGATAAACCGTAAAAATTGTAATTGAAATGAAAAGTTTTGCATTAGTAATAAATAATATTGCATAATACATTGTTATTAAATGACAAAGGAGTAAAGGGAATAACATCCATGTATCAAAAATAAAGTAGTCATAAAAATAATTTTAAAAATATTTTTAATATATCAAATGCATGATATATTAAGCACCTTTATCTCAAAGTTAAAACTTTATTTTAGAAAAAAAAAAGATTAAAATAGAAGTAAAATAATCTTTTTATAAAAACTTTGATTGTTCTCCCGTCGGAATAAATTCGGAGCTATTCGGAATGCATTCGGAATTTGAAATAATATTCCGCTTGCTGTAAACAATGCGGGCTCATAGTACTTCAAAACAAAATGGCGGATCAACAGGAGGGAAATTTAAAATCCTTAAAGCGTACGAAAACTCAAAAGCTGAAGGGATTGCTGGTTACTGTCATAACAAAAAGACTTTAAAGGAAGAATCTTCGTTATAAAATGCAAGTATTTTACGAATCAGCACAAATAATTAACCTGAAAACTTATTTTTTCAAGTTTAAAAAATTGTGTCCATCGATAATCTTTCTACATATCTAAATTCTTAGTTTGCAAATTCAAGTCTTTAGATGTTTTTTTAAAGATTGAGTGAAAAAAGCACAGTTTGTACTGTTCAATGACTTGAGTGATAGGGCTTTGATTTAAAGAGTATAATTTCAGTAAATATTCTGCCAAAAATAATTTAATGTTTACCTGCAATCAGTGAAAAGTTGTAGACAAAATTTAAGCTTTAATTCTAACTGTAGTCAATAACAGCTTTTTTATTCTTTCTTGAGAAAGAATATCGTGAATTAAGACATAAAATCTCTAAACTCTATTTGATAAATTAAAGCAAAAGCGCTTGGAGTGAGAAAAAAATCCATTAAGACATTTTGATAAGAAATGAAAAATTCATACATTGATAAACGTTTGTAGAATATGAACATGCCAAACTTGTCTACTAACGTGGAGTTATTTGCTACCGGGAGATCCAAGAATATATACGTTTGTTGACCCGTTTCTAAAGTCAATACAAGACCATGAAAAAGGCTTTTTGTTTGACAAACCAAGTCACCTGTGACCTATAAACAGTAAAAGTGATTTGCTATTAAGAGTGGAGCCTCTTCAATAGGTCAATGAATTATAAATAAGATTCAAAAGGTTTTTTCCCCGTTAATAATGCTACAACGGTCCAAACGGTAAAAAAAGATATTATTCTGGAGTTTTGATAAGGATGTGCATAACTCAATTTTGCGATACAACGGAATTGAGACAGATCGTATAGCTGGTGAAATTTGAGGTAATTTTTCCCCAAACTGATTATTTAAAAATATTGACTCAAAATTCTTGTTACGTGTAAAGATCCTTATAGCAAATATTGATGTTTCAGGATCAGAAAAATCTCACCAGACTGTATACTACATCAAGAAGTTTGATTTTTATTGAAAATGAGAAGTTTATTCTTAGAGTTGGTCGTTGTCACTTTATTTTGTCTGGCTTCAACGAAAGCCCGTATTTTGCCTAAAGGTAAGTCATAACTGTTGACGTAATATTCCCTCCCCTAACTATTCAGAAACGCGATCTCGTTTTTATTATGTTTTTATTATGATACGTGAATTTAAAAAAAATTAACAAGTACAAAATGATTCGTGAAAAAAAAAAAACAAAACAAAACAAAACAAAAACACTTTAAGTTCAGCGTCAAAAAATTGAAATTTCTATATACAGAAACTGAAAACAACTTAGCTTTTCCAAGTCATGATATTCTTCACAAAAATATATAAAACAATTCAATTCAATAATTTGATTAATTCAAATATAATTCATAATAGCCTGAGTGGTTGGGATTTATTTTCTAGAATTTGTTTTAAACGTTTTAATTTTATACACGTCAAAATAATGACAAGTGTAATTCTTGAAATACTCCTCTAATTTTGTTTGCTATATTAGATTTAAAAAAAAATCATATAGATATGAATTAGATATAATTATAAAATTGAAATTTTATCGCTATGAAATATTTTCGAAGCGTGGAGCGAAAACGTTTTTTTTTTTTGCTACCTGTTTTATTTGTTTTCCACACGTCATTGTGAACAACGTTTTTTAATCTTTTTCTTCAGTGGGTTTTATTTGACTGATCGTATTCACCGACCGTAGTTGGCGTGAAATATCAAAACTCGTTTAACTTGTCAGCAGAGTCGGGTGGTTGACTGTCCCAAAGATAGCTATGGCAAAAAGACGGTCTTTTCGTATTATGTAGTGATCGATGTTGAGACAGAATTTAAAAGGAAAAACAAAAGGATTGAAAAGGAAAGGGAAGAGTAAAGAAAGGAAAAATATAAAGGCATTAAAGAAAAAGGGAGAAAGAAATAAGGAAAAAAGGAAAGGAAAGAAGGAAAAGGAAAGGAAGAGAAAATGAGAGTAAAGGAAAGGGATTTAAAGATAATGGGAGAAAAGAAAAATCAAAAGTAAAAGGGATGAATGAAGAAAAAAAATGGAAATAAAAAGACGGAATGGAATGAATAGAAAATAGACTTACAGTAAAATGTTCCTATATATTCATATCATTAACTTGGTGTTATATTTATTATCTTAAGTCGTGCATTGTGATGATATTATTTGCATTATTTTAAAGGGAAGCCACAGAGTAGGTTTTACATCGAGAGAATTGGACTCGAACCTAAAGAGTCGAACGAACGTCATTCCCAGCGAGAAACGCTTTACAGAGGAGCTGCAAAGTCTCCAAAGAAAAAAACTAACGAGAAAAAAAATCATAACGATGGCATGAAACTCGAAAAACCTGGCTTGAAGATTGCACGCGTGAATAATGATGATGATAGCAAATCTAAAGGTATGAATCTTAGTTCTCTAGGGTCGGTGGTATTTACTTGTTACATCAAGAACAAATGAGTGTCATTCAAGGCGTATCTTAGTCCTCTAGGGTCGGTGGTATTTACTTGTTATATCAAGAACAAATACCAACAAAAACAGCGAAGCATAAAATAAACAAATACCAAAAATATGATACAAAAAATAAATAAATACAAAGAAAGAAAGAGACAAATTAACAAAGAAAATACATACAGCAACAAAAGACAACAACAGCAGTAACAGCAGCAGCAACAACAGCAGTAACAGCAGCAGTAGTAACAGCAACATTCCCACCGTCCTCAAAACTGCACTACCACAAGCAACAACGACAAAAACAACAACAACAACAACGATACAGCTACTTACAACAGCAACAGCAGCGACAACAGCAGCAGCAGCAACAACACATGGGCAACAGCAACAACAAGAACAGCAACATCCGCAACGTTAAAACCCTACCGAAGATATTATACACATTAATTTTTTTACCAAATCCGATTTAAAAATCGCTCCTATGCGATTACTTTTTGTGAACATTTTGGTCAAATTTGTTTTAAAGAAATAAAGATTCCGTTCCCATAGCTTTTGATAAAGCAAAAGCATTCGAAGCTAATTTCGAATAATGGCAAATTTGGTTTTTATTTTTCCCCAGCATGCGATGCCAAAGTCGATCTTGGTTTTTTGATTGACGGCTCAGCAAGCCTCGAAATGTACGGCAAGGGAACTTTTCAAAAATGTCTCGACTTCATAAAGACCGTATTGAAGACATTTGACGTAGGGGAAGATGGGACCCGTGTAGGAGCAATCACGTTCTCAGATAACAGTACCGTAGACTTTGACTTTGGACAATACAATGACAAAGATGAACTAAACGACGCCATTGACAAGATAACTCACGCAGGACTCACGACATTCACTGGCAAAGCTCTAAAGCTAGCGATGGATAAGCTCTTTATCTCGGCACGTAAAGGTGTGCCTAAGATTCTAGTTGTCATGACGGACGGGAGGTCACATGACGATATCGTTAAACCATCCCAGGTGCTGAAGAAGGATGGCGTGCAAATAGTAACGGTTGGTTTGGGGAAGAATTATGATTTGAATCAGTTGAAGGCGATCTCTAGTAAACCTGAATCGAAACATTTGATTACTGTGGATTTTTCTGAACTATTGGCTGCTTCTGACACGTTACGAGACATTATTTGTAAAGGTATGTTTTGCCTTTATAAATTACGTTACATCACACAACTGAACCTGTGAACATGCATCATGACTACCTTACTATCGACCTTTTAGAAGTTAACTAACTAATGTCCAGTTATAATATTATTTAGTGTCTAAATACCGGAACGCAAGGTGCAATAGAGGTTTTGCATCATCACGTGACAGCAGCCATGATAGATGGCAGGAACAATACAACCGTTTTACATGAGAAATAATTCGATTCCGAGAGCAAAGGGATTTTATTGTTCTGCCATCTAACCAGAGGCAGCCCAAGCTGTATTATGGGCGTGGGCACGTGATGGTGCAAAGCCTCTATAGACCTTTTTAGCTTCGTATGCAAATTGCCCATTTCAGATCACATGACATTCCTTTGAGAATTGTTCTTTTATGATAAACATGTTAAAGTATTTATATACATATGAACGAAGTAACTCCCAAAAGTGGCATCTCATGGTCTGAAATGGGCACAACAAACAACGAAACTAAAGAAGTATATCACGTGATAGTCTCAGCCAATGAAATGCAGCTTTACGTGTAAAGCTGCACTTGTCAGAAAGAGATATCGTTCTTATTGGGGCCACGTGTTGAAATCTTTTGAAACATCTTTCACCAGCATCGTTTCACGCAGCAGTCACATCATGTACGAAGTTCTTCAAATCATCTGGATTTTTAAATTTATTAATATTTTATTATTGTTTTTTCATCATTGTTTTTTTTTTTTCTTTTTCAGCTGCAGATAGTCCTCCCAAAAGCATAGGTAAGTCAAAAAGTCAAAGCTCGATAATCACTTTTTATTTTTATTTAGTAGCTTATCTTTTCACGACACAAAGGCACTACTTTCAAATATCTTTGAAATTCAATCGCTTTGATTGGCTAGCTTGTGTTTTCTCGCCCTTTGATTGATTTAGAGTGGAAGCCAATTCAAAGTCGCTTAAGGAGGCTCGAAACAGTATTTCTTGAGCGCGCGCGCTCTATAAATTTTTAATATTCAAACTGAGAAAAATCAAAAACTCAGTGGTGAAATTTCTTCAAATTTTGCATATGGCTTTAGTTTATGTTTTCGAAAACGTAAGGAAAAATTT